TGTTGACTATACAACTTTGTATAAGAAAGGAGAAGTGCTGCTTTTAATTTTTCCCAAATTTTCCATTCTTTACTCAGCAATAACCTTACTCTGACTTCAAAAAAGAGCTGTACTTACTGTTCCAACTGTTAAGTTTTGTGCAAATGAACTCGTGGAACTTAACTTCCATTACTTATTATTATATTGAGATAGCTTTGTATGACTTAAAAAAAAACCTTTTTCTAATATAAAATATATATTAAAATTCGATTTATAATTTGAAAAGTGGGTTGAGTATCTCAAATAAGTAATACATATGTATAAAAATGAGTCGAATTGTGTGACATCATTGGCGAGAAAACCACTAATGGTAGCAATTAAACAATATATGTATAGTGTTCACACAAGAAGGTATGTTTATTTGTGAAATAATTGGCGTTATTGAGTTTAATTAGATTTATATTTCTCCGTCAACTGTAAGTTTTCCAAAAATTTTAAAATAAAATAAATATATCCAACAATAAGACTCTACCCGACTTAAGTTTTGTGCGGACCTTACTGGTTGGCTGGCAGATTTTATTTCTAACCCACCGACAAATTGTGTATCACCATACACATACACCAATTACTCACAATGTATCAGTTTTATTAGATGACAAAGAATAAATAAAATTATCTTTAATTTCCAACGCCATATCAATGGTTTTATTATGAGTATTGCCTTATGTAACTTTTCCTCATGTAATAAAATCAATTTTTCATTAACAGCTTTATGTAACGCCAACTAAGATTTCATCAGCCATTTTTTATTCACATTAACTTCTATAATATTTTATACATCGCTTCTCTACAGTATAACCAAATAATATTTGTTATTTAAAAAACGACAATGTAGTGTATATTTTATCTTGAATTGAAAATTATTGTAATGCGGTAATACCTTTACATATATTACGCAGTATTTAAACGAAGGTCATTTTGTATGGAATATGCGATAAACTATTTATTAGGTAACTAGATAGATAGGTATATAATGTGTTTATATATAACATATATGTTTTGAGTATTTGACGGAAGATATCTATACTTAATATTAAGAGATAAAGTTTCTAACGTTGTTTGTTTATCCATATAAACAAACAAAGTTAGAAACTTTTATTTAGATTACCCCACGGTAATGATGGGATCATGATTATCATATGGAAAACTACATCTATAATTTACGTGAGCGATGTCGCGAGATAACAGCTAGTGTTATAATAAAACTCACCTACAAATTTTATGTTGTACACATAGTTTTACCATGTCTAAGATCTGAATTCGGTTTCCGGCCGAGACAATGTTAAAAACCGGTCATGTGCGAGTCTCACTAGCTTAAAACGGTTCCCTATTATTTATAAAAATCGCAAACACTTATGCTGTGAGGAAGCCTCCCTTGAATATTTAATTTATTCTCTTATTAGTATTTGTTGTTAAAGCGGGATCAGAAATACATTACCTGTACATGAGATACAGCCTGGTGACATACAGACGGACGACGGAGTTTTAGTACCCTGGTGTACGGAACACTAAAATCAAAGCTCATTTATTTTTAGACAGATAATTCTAGTTTTCACTTTTCACGTTTATACATAGATAGTTAGATGCTGTATTTCTGTTCTATAGTGTAATTTTCCTGTTTTCAATTCAAATTTTCAGCATTATTCTCGTATTGCTTTTTAATGTACTATTATTATTATATATTTCCTTATTCACAACTTCTGTGTAATTTTGACTCTTAAAATTATTTCCTTAACCTATTTCTAATTTATCTAGTGATTAGTTTACGCGTCTTTTAAATTATCGTAATTGCCCAGCCAAGCCACAGCGCACGTAGACAGTTATTTTTAAAGCGTGAGATGCGTAATGCCGTGCATCGACCGCTGCCTATGGATGCGTACGTGATGTTTTTCAGCACTGTCGTTGGCATTAAAATATAAAGTAATTAGTCGACATCAAGGAAGTTCTTATATGGTGGCCATTATACTTTTTGATGCTTTTTTTGACGCTAGGAAATGCATTACGCGCTCGCTACGCCCTGCGCGAACTCCATGAGTTACGTGGAATTCTACCCTACGAACCCACCCCCAAAATGGGAGCTAGTCAAAAAGTAGGGACGTACCCACTAAAACCTAGCGATGTCCTTCACTACGCAGGTGGCGCATGGCATGGTTCCCTAAAGGGACCATATCCACCCACGTTTCGGCCCACCTCTTGCGAGGTGGTCCTACCACGAGTTAGAGGAAGACTCAGAAACATTCGAGTCTAACCCCTCAGACCGGACAAGGGGCGTGCGATGCCCAATGAGTGCTCGAACTCATTAGACTGCCCACCGTCAAAGGTCAAAGATGCGCAACTGCATCCTTAGCCCTAGCTCGTCCCATGAAAGGATTCACCTGGGCTGAATTACGTGAACCTTTCTCCCAATAGCCACGGTTACCATCGACGTCCAGCCCTACAAAAGCCAAGCCGGTCATCGGTTCACCGTCCCTTAGTGTCAACTACAGTCGCGGCGCCACCCGGGGCCAGTCATCTCACACAAGTTCAGTGAAAACACTCAGGCCGAAGTGCGATACTTTTTGATGTGATATTTGAAACTTTAATTAATTTGTCCAGGTTTATATTGCTAATTTAGAATTACTATAGCTTTTTTGCAATACATTTGTAGTAACATTTTTAATGATATTATCAAGATATTACTATATTTAAAACTATTTCTAATTATACACTGAACTAAAAATAATTGTTAATTTACAATAAATATAAACTCATGTTTTACTTTGGATATCTTAAAAAAATAAATAGACTTCAAAAAGCGTGATGAAGAGAAACAACTGAAAAGAGAGAAAAATACCTTAAATAAAATTGAAACACCAACCCCAACAATTTCTTTTTTTTCTTGATACCAGCTGCGTAATTAGCAAGTAATAAAACAGCACTTTAAAAAAATGTTATGTGCGATTATCTAATTTTCTCTTACCCTAATTTTTTTTACATATATATATATATATATATATATATATATACGTAAATCAAGTCTGTCAATCGAGTATTATGAGCTTCCCGTAGGAGGAAGAATTTGAAAACCGGGCCAGTAACTTCGAAGCCTATTCAATGAAAATAAACATTCATTTGTCTGTTACTCTAATATGACTGTCGGTGACCTGCAACGCAAACCTTTTTGGCATGTTTATTTTCTAAATTCTGTTTTAAAATAAATGTCATTCATACTTTTAGACTTACGAAAACAAATGTAAAAACTTCTGTGAGAATACTAATAATATACGGCTGTGGTGTTTCCATGACTTCCTTTGCTATTACCTGGTAGCCAAATCTCTAGCTTTTTTAATCGGATTAATATTATAAATGTGAAAGTTTCTTTGTTTGGATGTTTAGATGTTTGGATGTTTGGATATTTGTCGGTCAATCACGTCGAAACTACTGAACGGATTTTGATGAAATTTGGTATACAGATAGGATGTTAGCTGACTTAGATAATAGGATACTTTTTATCCCACTTAACATTTTCCTAGGGTCCACGCAGGTGAAGCCGCTGGCGAAAGCTAGTGGCAAATAACATCCAATAATAAGTTACCAATTCCATACTAGTGAAAAGTCAGAGTGATGAATTTTATATTAAATGCATAATGAAAAGCCTTATTTATATAGTAACAAAAACATCTAGAGTTTGTAATCAGAAATAAAATCGATTAAGTCTACTGTGGGATTAACTTTTATAAATGCATATAAATATAAAGGATATTTATAAATAACAACAATTTTAATTCAGCCAGTTTATTGTATCGATAATGATATATTAATTACTTTCATGTTGATGTTAATAAGAAATTTAACAAGTGAGTGGAAACAGATGATATGATTAAATTAAATTAGATTATTTTAAACTGTATGACATTAGTTGCCACATACGATGTTTAAAGAAATATAAGACAACAATACATACATTACTCAGATTTCAAGATGAGTAGCTAAAGCCCCCATATTATGAAGTATCTGACACAACGAAGGTACAAAACACTCGGATACGAGACAATATAGAAAAGTTCATTTTCTACATTGACCCGACCGGGAATCGAGCCACTCTGCTACGGCGGTCGTAACGTCATTCATGACGTTAGTTACATACTTAAAAATATTTAACTAAAAATAGAATACTCGTCTGGAGCAGTATAATCTTAAAGATGCTTACAACTTAAATAAATTTCCAGGCACATTTTACCACACAATCAAGAGTTTTGTGGTACAAATTCGTCAATAAGATTCAATCGTAATAAATAAATTATTGCTTAAAATTACCTAATTAAGATAATCAGTAACTAATCTAATGAATTATGAAATAAATATTTTAAAATAACTAATACGATAGGTACAGTCTCATAAGTTTCAAAATTAGGATATGTTAATTTAATACATAATTCACTCATATCGAGTAAGAAAGATTAAAATATTAAAGATTAAAGAGGCAAAAAATGCCCACTAATTTTTCGGATTCACAATATAAGAGATCGCTTAAATTAAACCTAATTAAATACAAAGTATTTAAAATAAAATATACGAGATCCATTCAGGTCATGAATTTGTTTAATTTTTCATATATGGCAATTATCGACTTCTCCACCTTCAATTTACTATTTTAATTTAGTGTATTAATTTCTGAAATATACATTTTCACCACATTTATGCGAACGTAATACCAGTGCAACATTTAAATTATTTTTATAGCTTCTATTAATCAGAAAGAAATGTTTCCCACAAACAAACTCCTAAGAATTAAAAGCTGAAAATTTGAAATTGCCTTTTTACTGTCAAATTTATTTTATCGCCTTCTATACCATTCAGTTTCGATCAAGTGGTGCTCTAATACTTTTAGACCTTCACCACGCACCATTAAGGTGCATTTTACTTCACACAGCTATCTTTCACATGTGTTAAAGCACGATATTAGATAAGTTTAAACGACACTACATGTGTTTCACGCTTCCGTACGTTGCGCATGCGTCTTTATAATTACTCGCATTGAACGGAGCGAAGTAATCGTCGTGTATGAACCTAACAATATTCTCTATAGGACATAAGTAAGTCTTGTGCATTTTTTCTTCTGTAGGATCAACTACATCCATCACAATATTATGGCGTGCTTTACAAAACACTAACTTATTTGTAACATCTTCTCCGTTGTACACAACGCGAAAATAAAAATCCTGAGCCACCGCTTTCCTTTTAGTGAATTTGAATTCGTCGCGCAAATCGCTCTTCCTGTACACTTCGAATATCATTCTCGACGCATACTGTATATTGTAATGCTGATAATTGTTCAGACCCAGAGCTAGTATAAGAGCTTGCAGGGTCTTATCGTGACCTGAATAAATCACGAATTTCGGCTTATTCTCCGATATCATACGTATCATATTTTGTACTATATGGTGTATCAGACCATATGCTACGAGCAGACCCCGTCTTCTATTATGAACGTTCTTGATTTCTTGTCTATAACTCCACTCTAAATAAGCGAATAGTGACATAACATGATCTTTCCCGATGCAAAAATCTTCAGTGGTCTCAGGCGTTGGCTCCCTGTAATCTTCATCGAAATCTGTGTCCATTCTGGCATCATTGGGGAAATTGAAATCGGCGTCCAAATTCTTTTTAACTATAACCACATCATCATACGTGTCTCCGTTATCCATATACCTCTGTTGGTAGTACAATAACTTTTCTCTCTCCATCTGTGCGTCGAAATCTAAAGGCGCTTTTTGCTTGTCTTTACTATCATAATATTTTCCTATTATATCTCTCGCTTTCCTCCCGATTTCGTTGTTGAAATCCAATTGGTTATTTATGTAGTCTAACTCCATGTTTAATGTATCTATATCGACGTCTAGTAGGTTCCGGAGTGGGACTTCTTCTCGTAGTTTTCTATGTATTTTGTGTAGTTTTTTACTAGGTTTCTTCGGTTTCTCGTTACATGGGAGCGGGGCGTCATGACACATGTATGCAAGAAGCGCATCCCTCACTACATCGGCGTCAGTACGTTCTTGAGACTCGAATAGCACTTTTGATAGTTTATTTATCAATTCTTTGATAGCCGGATGAGAGTCCAGGCGATTTTTAGCTTGCAAATTGATTTTCCTGTGACAATATAAAAAATAAATCAAACAAGTATAAAAATTGTGTTACAATACATTGATTTAAACCACGCTTAAATAGATTTATTATATAATTAAAAAAATCAGTATTCCAAATCAATCTAAAAATTTATATCGAGTAGGTTAGGCTATCATATTTTTTAACCCCCGACGCAAAAAAGACGGGGTGTTATAAGTTTGACGTGTCTGTGTGTGTGTGTGTGTCTGTTTGTGGCATCATAGGTCCCGAACGGATGAACCGATTTTGATTTTGTTTTTTTTTTGTTTGAAAGGTCGCCAAGATGGCCGACGCCACAAAAGGTCGGATTACATATTTTGTCACGATTCCATCAATACGGGTATCAAATAAAATATATAGTAGAATACTGAACACTATGACAAATTTCAAATCCAAGATGGCCGCCACTAAAAATTTTGGATTACCTACATATTTCTCACGACTCCCTCAATACGGATATCAAATAAAAGGGCTTGAGTAGTAGAATACTATACACTATGTCAAATTTCAAATCCAAGATGGCCGCCGCCACAAAATGTTGGATTACCTACATATTTTGTCACGACTCCCTCAATCGGTCCCCGACGCGACAACATTTAATAAAAAAAAAATCCTATGTACGGTCAACGGCAGGTCAAGGTACTTGCTGACATGTCTGTAATTATGTAGGGTCATAATGTCAAGGTTATTTTTTTCTCATTAAAGGGTTTCACGTTTTATTACATTACTCTAACATTAGTAAGATTCAGGGCCAGTTTGTGTACGAGTACGTTATCTGTATAGCATACTTGTTGAGGTGCGGATGCGCGGGACACGCGCAGTCCCGGAAGCAGAAGGCGACGCTGTGCGCCTCCCGCGCGAGCGCCGCGCGCGCCCCCGCGCCCCGCGCCCCCGCCGCGCCCCACCACGCGCCCACCAGCGACTGGAACGTGCGCCGGTACCGCGTGCTGTACGACAACACCTCCTCTGCGCACGCCCACATTATGATAGATAGATAGATATAACATTTATTTGCATCACTTTACATGCCTTGATACAATATTAAATATAAGAAACAATTAAATATTAATCTAAAAACTTAAATCTATAATCCTATTCTTGTGTGTGAGTTACAGCGATGCAAAAAGGCAAAAGTTCAGCGATATATTTGCTCCGAGAGAGCAAAACACTGATTTTCAACTCCTGCCTGAGGTATGAGACCCATGCAACGAAACCAGACGCCTAAAACCAGTTAGTCGTATTCCCATCGAAAACTAATTCCTCGTTAGTGCCAGAGCTCATGGACAAATTATAAGTTTATGTTGTAAGGGGACGCAATCAATTAAATATTATGAAATATTTAATTGATTGCGTCCCGAATCAATTAAATATCATATCACTATAGCTCGTACAATTTACCACGACACCAAAAGGCCTAGGCGAGCGGGGGCTAGTTATAACAGGGGTAAGTAGTGACGAGCATGTTCGAACTACACAAAAAAATATTAGTTTTTCAACCCAAACTTTTATTTAAAACGCAATGTATCATATAAGCTCAGTTAGTATCCCGTCGGACAGTGCAGGAAGCGGTGTTGTGGAGGCACTCCGATAAAGCCAGGTAACGGACTTCTTTTTGGTCTATACGAAATTGATAAGCATGAATTTCAAATTGTTTCGGATGCAAGTTCGAAAGCTGCCTCTGATGCACAGATAATCTTCACGGAAATGATTTCGACAAAATTATAAGAACGATTCGAAATTTTCCGAATTTTCGTAGGGGGCCAATAGTCCCTTTGGCAATGGGTGTTATGTTTATTCGAGCGAGTTATACTTTCAATCGAATGCGAGGATTTCAGTGACCCAGCGGTTTGTATTGCAAGCTTGCTTTCGTTCTATGATTGCAGAGGACAAGCAATTCTCGCTTAGACTGACTGTCGGGATGATGGCTAACCGAAAATTTACTACCTCAAAATTATCTGTGCTTCAGTCCAAGCTAAATTGATACTCTTAGGACGCATCTATAAGTTTGGATGTTTGTTATTTCTTCACGAAAAAACTACTGAATGGGTTTTGATGAAATTTTGTATACGGAAAATTCTAAGCCTGGATTACCATATAAGTTACTATTTATCCCACTAAACAGATCCCTAGGGACCACGCGGCCGAAGCCGCTGGCAGAAAGCTAGAAATATATAAGAAAGAACTGAGATTCTCACAATAAAGCCTTTTATTTGATGTGTCACACAATACATATAGTTTTTTTCTAATTCTTAATAACGCCAAAAAGGTACTGTATCTTTAAATTCATTCATTTATCGCATAACCTCCTTTGCTGTGTACCAAATTTTAACACAGCTATTCAAGTAGTTTCGATGAAAATTATCTGTGACCGACAGATTGACAGACTGTCAACCAAGTGATATTAAAAGGGGTCTGTTTTTTTTCTTTTAAGACATAGAAAACCTAAAATATACATAATAAATTTAATTAAACCAACCTGTGTCCTTCTTCCATTGCTCTACGTTTTCCAAGTTCAACTTATCTCCGTAAGCTTCTCGCAATATATTACCTAAATATAATAATATTTCTAAATAAGATTTAAAACTAAAAGTAGACTTATTTTATATACTATAAGTAACCTGCAAAGATCAGATTTTTATGAATATGAAATTTAAAAAAAACTTTATTTATTTGTTTATACTTTACATTTTTACATAATAATTATTAAAAAGGGGAGAGCCGCCTCGTTTCGAGAAAGAGTTAAAAGCTGTAAAAAATCGTCTTTAGGCGATGTTGTACGAAATCACCACTTTATAAACCAATTTTATGCTAAGGATATGCTAATTGGTCAAATAAAAACTATTTTATGAAATTAAACAAACAAAGAAAACATGTTATTGATTGCTTACTAAAATCAAAAACATAATTTTCAATAATTGGCTCGATAGATAGGTAATAATATTACCTACTTAATATATATATATATATATATACATAAAAAATGTTTTTATAACTTTGTTTGTTTTTCTTTTCTGTGATTAAAAATGTATGAAATCAAGCGTGCGCGTCTTTACTCCCGACGTGTATTTGTTTGCATATTTTTATGGGAACGTAAGCGGAGGTACAAGTTTTAAGGAAATCGATAACACCTAGTATTATATAAATGTTTATTAGCTAACAAATAAAAATAGTAACCTGTACATACATACCAAATGACGAACCCGATAGCGTAATGGTTAGCGCTATCGGTCTACGATACGGCTGTTAAGCAACTTTCGCATGAGTCGGTTATAGGATAGGTATATAAAAAAATATTATCTCGAGCTCCTCCGTTCTTCGGTAGGTACCTTAAGCCGTTAGTGCCGATCGTTAACACCCACACTGGGCCCGCGTTGTGGGTCACGAATGAATGAATGAATGAATATTGCACTCTATAAACATTTACACAAACACATATTACAAGTAACATAGATGTAAAAGGCGGCTAAGGTAACAATTTCTACCAGGCTACCCACGGGCAAGAGGAACAATACCAATTCAGTAAAGAAACTGCAGACTAGTGCATTAAATGAGAAAAATCATGAAAGTAAATACATATACTAATACAATATATATATAAAAAAGAATAGAATACAATTTTAAGAAGATGAGATGAAAATATTCCTTGACATGTTTGACAAAGGACTCCTGCAATGGTGCACATTTGATATTTACCGGCAGTGAGTTCCACAGTTTAATAGCTTTTATATCAAACGCACTTGGCAATGAAATCAGTTGTATGGAGAAGGATCACTAAGGAAAGTTTATGGGCTCAAGTCTGAGAGGATTAGAAGAATGGTCCATTCTCCCTATTAGATTCGATTCGATTTCATGTTTAGAGAAGACCAGTGCCACAACAATGGGTACATTAATAGGCTGGTGATGATGAAGACATACATACCTACTATGATCATCTGCAGCAGACCACGGGCTGTGAGTTGTCCCAGAGCGCAGTGAGTGCCAGACGTTTGCGGGGGCAGCGACGGGAAGTTGTGGAACGGTCCCGGCCCGACTACCCACCACGCGCGACCCGACGTGCTCGCGTTCAACACAAACTCTTCATAACTACCGGCATTTAAGAAAATATCATGTGCCAGTTTTACATATTCCACTTAGGGGGTAACTTTGCTGAATTTTATGATGACAGTTCTTTCTGTATAAATTAATATTAAACTGAGTGTTGTCTTGTCAGGTTTTTCACCAGTTTATTTTATTAATAATTGTATTGTTATGGTAAATGCTGTGTATACCTGTAATTAGCGAGCGCATTGAAGTTGAACCTTTTGTGAATTATTTTGGATGTTGTAAATGTTGTATGTGTTTTGCTGTTGGTGTACCTTGTTATAAATAAATAAATGGGACTTTGAAATATAAAACTGCTAGTAGTAGTAGCTGTAGTTTATGTTACTTTTTAAGATGCACATGATAAAATTGTTTAAAATTCATCTATATAAGAATGAAAAATATAAGAAACAAGTATTATGTAAAACTACAATTTCATAGACATAAAAGTAATAAAAGCAAATACCTTTTCAAAAGTGGTGAATCAGGTTTCGTATCACATGGCAGTTTATCACCTCCTTTCAGATGAGTGAGGGGTCCACGGTCACCATGCCTAGTCACCACTAGCACACCTTGAAGCATCCAAGTGTCACTGTCCACTATTCCTGCAAACATCAACCTTATATGTCATTAACTGACTTAAAAACAGGGACGTATCGATTAAATCTATAATTTCATTAGAATGGTACAATATTCATATTGCTATTTGGCCAACAAATTTGAGGGTTTTATTGATGATTTGAAATATTTAACAATAATAAGACTTTGGTATGCAGTTCCTCCTGTTAAAAAAATATACTTTTTATATAACATATTTATGAGTGATTTATACCTATTTTCAAGAATTATATGAAACATATATAATGACTTATTTTTTGTTATATTTTATAAAATAAATAAACATTTCAGATACCAAAAGGCAGTTATTTTACAATGCACTGAAATGACAAATTTGATGAAATCACTAGATTTCTTTAGGACAATGTTAAGATAGAGTAATAATTTTAACATCTCCCAGGATTACATCAGGTCCTTTACGGACTCAATCAAATCTTATTGAACACATATGTTATACATTAGTGATCATCAGTAAGAAATTCTTTTAATAAAGAATAAAAGAATTTCTAACTAGCAAAAAAACAAAAAGAAAAAGTAACAAAAGAACTATATAATAATGTTATTTAGTTCTTTTATGGAATAAACATCTTATTATTTTTATGAAAAAAATAATACTTTTAACAAAAAAAAAATACTACATTATACATACCCTCAGTTCCTCGTACTATGTTTTCAGGGGGATTGCAAGCCTTTAGGTATATCTTTCTGAACTTAAGATCACTTTTTGATATGTATTCAGTTTGAACTACTTTTTTAACTGTAACTATTTCTTCTCCAGTAGCCATGTATCTATACATCACTGAAATAGAGCAACCATAATATAAATTTTATTTCCGTTGTGTAGTGACTGTGTGTATTGTATTGTATAGTGACACTGAATAAAACTAGAGTAAAAAATTATCTGTATAATAACATTTTGTTGATAATCTCACCTGTTATAAGAAAGAAAATCCATATACTCATACCAAGGTAACAATAAAAAGCTCTGTGGTGAAATGAAAACTTCATCATTTCTGTTATAATTTTACTTTTATTCCCGATTAACGACATGCTGTAACAACATAATTTGTTTGGCTTGGCAATCGGAGTAGTAATAATAAATAGCAAATTTTGCTACATTTTATCATTTACCGCCAACAATTAGAAATCTTTGGAAACTACGAATAAGGTTTTTTTTAATATTTAATAAAATCCAGTGCACCAAATATTCTCTTATTTAGCGAATATCAGCGAATATTCTTGAAACATTTTATTTATTTATATTCTTACACCATCAACACACCACAGACTACTCCTTGGGTATAACCACAGAACCTAACACACGTCAAACCAAAACCCAAAACCAGCAATGATGCGACTTTTTTACTCAGTCAAGTGAATTTTTCAAACTTGTACTCAATTGAAAAAAAATGTACTAACTACTACAGATATTCAGATACTAATGTTCCCGTCTCTGTTGATGAATATACTTATTTTAGTTTAGTTTTATTTCTGTTAAGAAGTGAAGATTTCTTGGTAGTTTTTCTATCTTTTTAGTGTTTTGTACCTACTTGACGTGTCTGTCATTCCTGTTTGTCTTTATGTTTTGCTATTATACTCGTATTTTATACTTCCAATCCGAGCTTTATCATTTCTTTAATAATTTCAACATGAAAAAAGAAATCAGCCTTAATCACATTCACGTATTATTGTTTAGTATTATGCTTCGATCAACAATATTAAGCTCCTATAATAAAAAAACATATACTTCTGATTTCTTAGGTATTTACGGAATTTTTACATAAACCATTATTCATTTGTTTAATTTAAATGTTATTTATGATTTTAAAAAACTAGAAGAATAAAACTACTTAACATAGCTGTACCACGGGCTGTACGGTCAAGATCTTTTCGCCTTCAAAACACGCAACAATTTCATTCAAACAAGTGCGATCTTGTTTGAACACATAAAAACTTTTGGAAAGTGTGAAATTACTTGATGTAATTTCAATCCATTTATTGGTTTACATTATTTGTGACTTAATAATTTAAATTTGATTCGATTATTATTGCAGAAAGGTAAACAGCGGTAACGGCTTCTGAATTTATTAGTAAACTTTATCAATTTACATTTATTTAATGGCTCCAAAAGTTTATGATGGTGCTATTATTATCCTGGACATCGGACGGAATGTGTCTCAAGCTGCTGAAAAAGATAAAAAAAGCTTTTTCACTGAAGGAAGAGAATTTGTCAGTAGACTTATTGAACGAAAAATTATGAGTCAAGGGAGGAATCTCCTTGGACTGATATTGCTGGGATCTAAGAAATCCGAGAATAATATGGCAAAGCAGTGTGACGATGCTTTTCGTCATATCGATATGGCGGTGAAATTGCAAGAACCGACATGGCAAATGATACGGAATCTACCTGAACTGGTAAGAACCTTTTGTAATGATCTTATTTCTTAAATGTTTTTATTGATTGATTAGTTTTAACTTTATTTCAGCCAACTAAATCTAGAGGTGACTGGATGGAAGCAATAATTGTTGCAGTAGATCATTTTGCCAATGGTATTAGTGGTATCAAATTCAGCAGCAAGAAAATCATATTGGTTACAAACTTCATGTCACCTACTTGCCTTGAAGAAAATGACATTGAGCGGGTATTAGTAATATCTCTAATAAAAAGTAAGAAAGTTTTAATAATCTCAATCATAAAGTTCAATTTTCTATGTTGTTTTACAGGTAACCAATGGTTTTAAGGAAGACAACTTTGAACTTGATGTTATTGGTCTTGACCTTCTAGATGACTCTCTTAAAGAAGTTGATATTGAGTTGGCTAGAAGAATTGTTGCAATAAGCAATGGTGCAACTGCATCTTTCAAAGATGCAATGAGATATCTACTTTTCCACAAGAAAAAAATAGTTCACTCATATCCATGGAATGTTGATTTATCAATTGGTCCTAACATCAAAATACCTGTTTCATCATATATCAGGTTAAAAGATGAACCTGCAGTTAAAAATTGGGTGACTGCAATCAAGGATCCTGTTACTCATGCAGCAAGTACCACAGAGGGTATAGTGAAAAGCAAAGTCCATGTGAATACAGAAAACCAGACAGTAATAGATTCAAATGCTGTTATATCAGGTTATCATTATGGGCAGCAAATTATTCCATTCACAGAGTGTGATCAATCTTTCTTATACAATTCAGGTGAAAAATGCTTATCCGTATATGGATTCACACAATCTTCTAACATTGGCTGGCAAAATTTGCATGGTGATGGACTGCATTATATATTTGCAAGAAAAGGAAACAAAAAGGCTCAATATGCAATAAGATGTCTTGTAGAATGTCTCCATGAGATGGGCCTTGTGGCTTTAGTTCGAAGAGTATATAATAAAGGCAATACCCCTAAAATGTTTGCACTTATGCCTGTGATAGATAATGATAACTATATATGCTTATCAATGGCAGAGATTTGTTATAGTGAAGAGATTAAATATATGACATTTCCAAGTACAACCCTCAAGAGATTTGAATGCACAAATCATGAAGTAGATGCATTCAAAGAGCTAATTCGTGCAATGGACTTAACCAAAGCTTATGATGAAACATATGATGACACTGAAGCATTCCCAATTGCTGAAACTGTGAGTCCAGCTGTGCAATATGTCTTGGATTGCATTGCCTTCAGAGCAATGAATCCAGACAAACCATTGCCTGAACCTAGAGATGAGATAATGATGCTGTTCAAAGCACCACCATTAGTGGCGAAAAGGTCTAAAGAACCATTAAATAAACTAAAAAAGTTGTTTACTTTAACTAAAATTGAGAAGAAAAAGAAAGAGAAAACTGAAGCTATTGAAATTTTTGAGCATAACAATGAAAATGAAGAAAATATTAAAATGGATAATCAAACCAAAGAGCCTGTGCCTTTAATTAAACTCCCAATTGCGAGTAGCAGTCGTATAACAAACATTGGAACAATTGATCCAATCAATGACTTCAAAATACTCATAGATAGCGGCAAAACATTAACTGATTTATTTTCTGATATGAGAGAAGCAATAGAGAATCTTGTGTATTGCAATTTGGATGGTACTTACAGAAAAGCTCTATCAACCATGAAGTTTTTAAGAGCAGAATGTGTAAAAGCAGACCCTTTGCCTTACAATAACTGGATTATAAATTTTAAGAAAGCATTAATTGCTCGCAAAAAAGATGATTTTATAGATATTATACATACAAATAAGTTAGATGTTATTTTGAAAGAGGAAAATGAGTTGAGCCTGTATGACAACATTGATAGTTGTGATGATCAATTATATGAAAATGATACTGTACCAGATTGCACAGAATTAACCATGGACCAGGAAATAAATGACTTATTTGATAACATGTGAAAGTGAATATAAGTTTGTCACATCTCAAGTCATCTAGTTACATATTTATTTAAATATAAGATTATGTGCATCCTAAAGGATATAAAAACATGTATATTTATTATAAACTGATTTTTATTTTTAATCTGAAGTATAGAACACATAATATGTAGAGGTTGCATAATTATCCTGTAATGTTAATAATTCTAGGCCCAGTTTTAATTTCAAATTATCTACTAAAATCTAATCTCAATTTGCACACAGTAAATTCATGTATGTTAAATCTTATAACTAATTGTTAAGAAATTAATCATTGCACACCACTTTGTGGGATTTTATTTTGTGAATGTAGAAGTTCTAAGAACTCTTGTAATGAAATATCTTCTTGGCAGTCTGTATCTAAATCATGCTCTAATTGAGCTTCCATTGAATTTGCTTCAGGACTAAGAACAATGTTCTCATCTAATACGACATGATTCAGGCGTGATTTTAAGCTTTGAAGAATTTCTTCTAATTCTAAGCATTTGTTTCGAATCGACGTCCCTAGGTCAGATGAGGGATCTATATCTTCAATAGTAGCATTTTCGGAAAATGAATTCGCAGGCGTTCGCGTCCTTGGTGGCTGTATCATGGAAAAAAGATTTTCGGGAACAGTGTTTCCATTTCTTGTGGTATCTGGAGATAATGAATCTGTAAACTCTGCAAGAATCTCGTCAATGATATCTTCGGCGTTTTGACGTGGATCAACTACTTCTTCTGGGGTGTCTGCACCACTTTCGTTGTTTATCATTTTGTTATTAGAATCTAGCTTCATGACTTGATATTCTTTCGTCTAAATTATCGATTGATGCAAAATAAATAACAAACAATACAGCTCTACTCAAAGCATAGGTACCTATCCGATAAAAAATCATAGACAAATATCAGATGATCACTGTCATCTTTCTTTTACAATATTAATCTATGCTTTCTTTGCACCTCAGATTTAACATCCAGTGCTATTATTGTTCTGTGTTTAACATACATTAATACTTCGCGGACTTTTTGGCGGGAAGTCGAATCGAGCGCGCGTTTTTAAATTTTCTTGCAAATTTAATTTGTGTAATATCTTGATTTGACTACCAATTTTGCTTTAAATATCGACTAATAATGTCAGAAATGGATAATGAAGATACTGATGCAGATAATAGCACTCAATTTAGTAAACCAAAGAAAAGAAAAAAGGGCCAAAACTTAGAAAGTGATCAAAAAAATTTATACAAGCCTTTTGTCAAAAACAATTATAAAAGACGATTTGCAGAAAATGCTGGGCAGGCGGAATTTATAGTTTACCTAGAAAGCGTTACTAATGAGAAAATTGGAAACAAAAATCCATTTTATTTGACAAAAATTCTTCAAAGAGATATCAAAGGAATAAAACGATTAAACAGAATAAACGCACATAAGATAGGGGTCATATTTGGACAACCAAACACAGCCAATAATTTTCTTAATGCAGAGGATTTTCTAACGCGACATAACTTCAAGGCATATATTTCAGCTCAGTCAGTTGAGAAAATTGGTGTCATAAGGTATATACCAAAAGAAATTTCTAATGAAGAATTGTACAAACAGCTCTCATCACCATATGAAATATTATCTGTGAGACGATTTCAGAAAAAGGTAAATGGGGAATTAACTCCAACAGAGACTGTAAGTGTTACTTTTTTAAGTACTATTTTACCAGACTTCGTGTATTTAAATCTCTGGCGATACAAGGTCCACCAATACACACCACCCTTGCTACAATGCTTTAAGTGCTTTAAATTTAATCATTCAGCAAAAATATGCAATCAAACACAAAAATGTTCAATTTGTAGTGGAGATCATTTCTATAAAGAATGTAATATGCCTGAAAATATTAAGTGTATCAACTGTGGAGGGTCTCATTTATCTATCTCAGCAACATGTCCAATAAAAATTAAGAAAAATTTAGAAAAAAAGAATAAACAGACATATGCTGCAGCTGTGATCAATGACTCTTCTTATACACAAAGTAAAGATAATTTTCCAGCTTTGAAAAATAAAGAAAATAATATTGTAAATAATAAGATAGAGGTTAATAATAAAAGTTTTATTGACATTGTAAATAATCCCTTAATAATAAATGCACTCATTCAAACATTAGTAGAATTAGGAAATAAAAAGGATGATGCACCTTTGACAACCAAAAGAATTAAAGACGTTCTTTCATCAAAATTATCTAAATAATGGCCTGTACAAATGAACAAAATATCATTATTGCTCAACATAACATACAAAGTCTCTTGAGTAAAAAAGCATTAGTGAATTCTTTTCTAGAAACTAATAATATAGATATATGCTTACTTAATGAAACATGGTTAACAGACAAACATGACAATATTAGATTCATAAATTATCAAACCCACTTTAGAAATGCTTCTAATTCTCATGGTGGGGTAGGTATTCTTGTAAAAAATAATTTGAAATACAAACTTCTTAGTACTCCTTTTTATGAACAAATGCAAAATGTAGCAATTTCTTTAACAGTAAACACTGGTACCATTACAGTTTTATGTATTTATGCTCCTCCTAGATACACTAGGTTTGATATTAGCAGCCTTAATAACATAATTCAGTCTCTACCAAAACCTATACTTATAGCAGGTGATTTTAACAGTCATCATATTGCCTTTGGTTGTCTGGACATTAATAGTAGGGGACAAGCCTTATACAATTGGTTAGATGATAATAACTTATGCATACTTAATACTGGCGATTATACAACAATTAATCGACCACATCAAAATCCGTCAGCCATAGATATCTTCTTAGTGAGCCCGAATTTAGCCCCCCTCTGTGAATGGAGAGTACATGATGACCCTCTGGGCAGTTATCACCTGCCTACTATAGTGGAGTTGACAATAGATGCTCCAAAATATATGTCAGTGCAATATGAAGATAAATTCCTTTATAATAAGGCAAACTGGGTAGAATTTTATTTAAAATCCGAAACAGCATTTAACATTATTGATTTTGATGAAAACAACCCTTTAACTTTATATAATTTGTTCACCGAAATATTAAGTAATTTAAGAAATCAATATATACCAAAAAAATCGGCATCCAAACATATGATCAAAACTAAACTTCCAGCTCCATGGTGGAATCAAACATGTCAACTAGCAGTAGAAAAAACAAAACAATCTTTAAAACAGTATAGAAATCAACCAACTCTAGAAAATTATATCAATTATAAAAAAACAGATGCCCAAAAAAAAAAAGTTATTAGTGAACAGAAACGGCTGAATTGGTTGAAACTATGTGAATCTTTCAATAGAACAACACCTTTAAGTAAAATCTGGAAAATGATAAAAAAGTTCAAAAGAGCTAAAGTATATAGTAACTACTCCAAAAATGATGAATTTATACCAGAATTTCTAAACAAATATGCACACATTAATAATATAAATTTAGATAACTTACAAACTTATTTTAACAATAATAATAATAATTCAGAATCTATGTTTATAATTGAGCCATTCACACATACTGAATTAATTAATAGTCTCTCCTCAAGACGTGATACAGCTCCTGGCATGGATGATTATCCATATATCTTACTTAAACATCTTCATAATAATGCTTTGAATATTTTATTGCAAATATTTAACACCCTCTGGAGTAAACAGTTAGTTCCAGAATCATGGAAAACTCAGTGTATAATCCCCATTTTGAAACCTGATAAAGTACCCTCAGATTATAATTCATATAGGCCCATTTCTCTCACTTCATGTATAGGCAAACTCTTCGAACTTATGTTGAAGAACAGACTTGAGTGGTATGTTGAGCATTATGGTATAATTCCAACTGTGCAATATGGCTTCCGGAGAGGGCGTAGCTCAGCAGATAGTTTTACAATATTACTTTCTGATCTGAAACGTGCAAAAGCAAGTGGTAAATTAAATGTTGTTTGTAGTTTTCTGGATGTCAAAGGTGCATTTGATAATATTGATTTAGAAAAGCTAATAAACATATTACAGGAATTGAAAATTCCTGGCCATGTTAGTAAATGGATATTCAATTACTTATATAATAGACAAGTATATGTAAAATTTAACAATCGTCTTTATGGCCCAAAATATGCACAAAAAGGTACAACTCAAGGTGGAACCTTATCGCCATTACTGTATAATATATATACTAGCCAAATTTTACAATATGTAACACAAGAAAATATAGAAATATTACAGTTTGCAGATGACTTAGTTATTTATTGTGTTGATGAAAATATAAACACTGCTATACATTACCTTAATTCAGCATTATACCAACTACACCACTTCTATAAGAACATCTTAGGTCTTGATATAAATCCAGAAAAAAGTTCCATCTTGGTTGTAAATAATAGTACATCTGTAAATAGTAATATTCAATATAACAATGTAAATATACCTCATGTAAATGAAAAAAAATTTTTAGGTGTAGTGATTGATTGTAAATTAAATTTTCAAAGTCATATTAATTATATCCTTATGAATGCTCACAAAGCTGTAAATATATTAAGATGCTTAGCAGGAATTACATGGGGTGCTGATCCTAAGATTTTAAGTCTTTTGTATAAAAGTTTAGTAAGATCTCATTTTGACTACAGCTGTTTAGCATACTATGAAGTGAATCCACACCTACTTAGGAAGCTGGATGTCTTACAAAATAAATGCTTAAGACTTATAACAGGAGCAATGTGTTCAACACCAATAAGATCTATGGAAGTAGAAACAAAAATAATGCCTTTAGCTATACGTAGAATGTTAATAGCAGAAAGATTCTGTCTTAAAAATATATACTTACAAAATCAAAAATTAATTGAAAAATTAACAATCCCTGGCTATACAGGTGAAGCTAGTAATGCAGTGTATGTTTCTGCTCTTAATATACATAATAATAAACCACCTAATCTAATAAGGATAATGAATCACATGATATTATTATTCCCAAATTTAAATAAGCATCTGTTGTTACCATATTATAAATATGAGTACAAAATTAATTTACAAAACATTTTATTTGATAGAGCAAATGATAAATTTTCTTTCTTAGAATTATTACAGAAATATAGAGATTATATAATAATTTATACAGATGGTAGTAAAACTACAGATAAAGTTAAATGTGCACTGTATGATTCAGTATCAAAGATTACTATAACTTATGAAATTGATAATAAAAGCAGTGTATTTTCTGCTGAATGTTATGCTATTCTCAAAGCTTTAATTTATATTCAAAATAAATATGTAGATAAAACTTTATCTAAGTTTATGATCGTCACAGATTCTCTTAGTGCACTTACTAAATTAGAAAATGTAAGTAGGCACTATAAGGATAATTATTTAATACAACATATTAGATATCAGTTAAATATGATTGGAAAAAATATTACTTTTACTTGGGTTCGTTCTCATGTAGGAATTCAAGGGAATGAAATTGTTGATAAAGCTACTCATAGTGAACTCTGTACATTAGATTTAAGTTATGAACTTCATCTAAGCGATTGCCAATCTTATATTAGAGGTAAGGTAATGGAGTTATGGGAAGAATTTTGGATATTGGATAAGTGCGAAAAAGGAAGATGGTACGGAGGTATACAGAAGACCATACCTAAAACACCATGGTATATACCTTTTAGAGCTGTTAATAGAGAATTTTATAGCACCATCAACCGATTGCGGTTAGGACACTGCCGAATCCCAGCAACTTTGTTTAAAATAAAACTGACTGAAAGCAACATCTGTCAATATTGTCAACTAAACGAAATTGCAGATCTTGAACACCTCGTTCTGAAATGTCCAAATTTCGCTATGCAACGCCTAATATTAGCAACAAATATAGAAAAAACTGTGAAAGATGTACCCCGCCAATTACAAGATTTATTGCAGATCCCAGAAATATATAGATACTTATACA